AATTGGCAGAAGGTTACTGGCAGACATAAATCGGACACCTTGGATTTTTAAGAGATAGGAAGCTCTTTTCTTACACGGACTCAGACCAGTCCACCGAGGCAAATCTCCTACGACGTTCCGTTGCGTCCAGAGCCAGCTCGAAGCTCTTTCAGCAGCTTCACCCAGTTGTTTTAGTGACCGTTTACGTTAGTTTCCTCGCTGTTTTAGCACATTGTGCATATAAATAATATATATAAGTTAACAAAAGGTGAAAGTTTGCACACATCACTCAGTATTTTTTTTAATGGACTGCAACAAGATAGAATGAAAAAAAAAAATCTTAAAATAATATACCTACAATACTATTAATAAAATTAGAAAATGTGTGTGCAAATAAAGGGGAAAAAAGCATAGTAAAAGAAAATAGCTTCTATGAAATAATAAAGAAAATTAAGACCCGTTCATCTTGTGAGGCCCTAAATTTGTTAGCTTCTACATGAATCCAGCACTGCCATCTCTCTGTGAACGTGGATCCACAACTTGGGACTATTTCTAGTTGTTTATACGCGTTAACAAAGCTTTAAGTGTAGAAAAAAACTCCTGTGCCTGCCACAAAGTGTCTTTTACAATAATGATGAAAACATTATGTCCCTAAAAGGTGCCAGTACTGTGTAGTGCCAGGTAACAAAATGCACTGCATATGCTGCTTACTAGCAGTTCCTAAAGCTAAAGTAATATAAACTGTTGGTTAAATTTAGTGAAACAGTGGCAATCAGAAATGATAACGAATGGACATATATTTTATCTCGAAACAGCCCAGTCGTTAGAAGGAATGTTAGTGTATTTTCCAAATGAAACTGTCGAAGATTTCAAGTTGATCTTTTAATGTAAGTTACAGCGGTGTTTATGTGTTTATGTTTCACTATGCGCTTGACTGCATATCGGTGGGTTGTGATTTGTTTTGTGAGGCGCATAAGTATACATGTATGTTTGCCTTTCCATCTGTCTGTGAGTCAGTCAGCCTGTGTGTTCTTACCAAATCTATTGTAAAGTCATCTTGTATGTCTGCTTGTCAGGTTAGTCACTTCCTCCTTCTGTTACTTGGCTTATACAGTTGCCGTTCCCGCCTTTGATCTTTGGCCCTAAGGTTTACTTTGTAGTAATAAACAAGTCTCCCTTTGATCTGTCTGTAATTACTCCGTTATCACTTATTCTCATTACTCAACGTTCTGCTTTCTTCTTTTGTCGTCTCGCTGATACCAGGTTGTAGCTCAGTGTTCTGGTTTTCTGTATTTGTGTTGCCCTTCACGGCTGGCTTTTAATGATGGCTTTGTTTATCGTTTTGCAGGTTTCACACTTCATCATTTAGCCATCTTTCTTGATTTTAACCTCGGCCGCCACCCTCTCACCCATCTTCTGTTGTAAAAGATTCGAAATGCAATTTGGCCTGGCTGCATTCTCACTAGATGGCATAACCATTTCATTATTTGCCTATCAATATAATTCGGACACAGTCTTATTCTAACTTTCTCTCTAATGTTGGTTTTCGTAATCCCGTCCCTGCTTGTGATCTTACAGAGAAAGCGCATTTGATAGATAATTATTTTCTGTTTGGGTGCCCTATTTATTGCCCATGTTAGGCACTGATAGCATAAAGTAGGAATGAAAATGCATTTAATCACTTGCTGTTTAGCTGATTGACTGACTGACTGACTTTCTACCCCACCAGGACATCACGCAAGCGATAAACACCCGATGACACGATGTGCCACCATGTGGGTGAGGATCACCGTGGAGAGGTACCAGAAACCGCGTTCAGCCTTTAGGCCATATTTATGGCCAGGCTATATTGCGGCCCCTAGAAAGAGCCAGAGTAGGGCTTCAAATAAAGAAAAATTTCGTCCTCAAAAGGACGCATAGATGAATAGACTTACTGTTTAGCTAGAAAGGAGACATTTCGACGTCTATGCAATAGGGCTACTGGTGGGTGTCAGCATTTGCCTTCTGACCATTGTCGCCTGTGCTCTTCAATGTGTACACAGCAGGAGTCACGAGTGAACAAAGCGTAGGTCTAGGTAGAACAATGTCGTGTGCTGATGATATCCTTGTTTACCGTCGAGGTAAAAACAGGCAGGAAATTACAACCACTTTACAACACGAACTGGAATCAAGAGCTCAAGTGAACCCGTCCAAAGACTCCTTAACGTGGTTCTCTCTAAATACTCACATCGTCAGTACACAAACGCCAGTCGTAAGTATATGTGGTGTGGACATCGAGAGAATGGACACCATGAAATACCTGGGCATGACATTTGACAAATGCTTGTCATACAAATGCCACGTAGACAACGTCATACTTAGAGCCAGAAAAGGTCTGACAGCACTCAAGGTGCTAGCAGCAGCTGATATTGAACAACGCCTACTTTTCCTTCTCTATCAAGGGCTTGTGCTTAGCGTCATTGACTATGGTCTTGGCCTCCTCACTGTCAGCGAAACCCAGCTAGAAAGACTGGACCGAGTACAAAATGAGGCCATGAGACTCATACTCATCTGCACAAAAGACACCTCCTGCAACGCCATGCGTTATATCCTGGGTTTGCCGACGATGACTAGCAGATACAAAGTGGCACAAGTCAAGGCGTACATGAGAGTATCGGCAGACGTTAACCACCCATTACACAAAGCTATACACGACACAAAAGGAACGCGTTTCAAAAGAGGCCGTTCTTGGATGGCAAAGGCTGAGGACTTAATCCAGCAGGTATGTGTCTGAGACGTCATCAGGCACGGAAAAGAATGGATGAATACACCAGTAGACATGCATGGCATCTCTAAGGTTGTTGTCACACTCGGAAGGTACTGTCGGGATCAGATTCCTGCGGCCATAGACACAGACGTAAGGGAACTGATAGATCAGCATTCAGACCCAGAAGATATCATCATCTACACAGATGGGTCCGTGAAGCGCGGATTAAGGTCAGCATGGGCATACACAGCGCAAAGAAGGGGGAAAACAATACATGAGGACAGCGGCGCTTACCAGACAACCACGTCAAGCATGACCATGGAAATAGCCGCTGCTTCCAGAGCTTTAGCATGGGTATCCGAGCAAATCGCCACACAAGCAGTAATTGTCTCAGACTCAATGAATATGCTTCAGAAGATAGCAACAGGCAGTATGCGCTCTGAATGGATAGAAAGCATTCGGAAATCGCACTTAACTTCCGTAACCTGGATCTACACACCGGGTCATGCGGGCGTAAAGGGAAATGGACGAGAGGACCAACTGGCAAGCAATGGACTAATGATTGCGGGAAAAAACATGGACAGAGCAGATATCGTCAACGCTGTACGTACTGGGCTAGTGGATAATGACGAATCCCTGACACTAACACGATTGCGTCTTTGAGGTCGAGAAAGGAGACAATATAACCAGCTTCTCGTGGGGACAATTAGTAGAAGTACTTTGGAGTGGCTGCTGCTTCGGAGGACTGCGCACTCATGAGTATTCCCAATATGCAGTGACGTCGATTGTGATAACAAAACACAAAATAACATTTTGTAGGAAGTCGGCATTCCGAAACCCAAGTTCAAGGTGTCCCCTTCGTGCCAAAGAACTGCATGGCTGTTGGGTGAACAGTCGTTAACGAAGGCAGTCAGGTCGTTGTAGGGGCGATACCTGCTGGTGGATGTAATGTCCTAAGTCCCTTCCCCGGCTAATAGTGAGGGTACTGCTGGGGCGACCATTTATTAACCCTCACATAATGCTTCAGGTCAAAATGGACACTAGGCACGGCCACTTTTTTTTTAAGCCGTGGCAAATATTTTTTTTTTTTTACTTCTGCCAGGCGGTGGCCGTCGCATTTTTGCTCCATTTGTAGACTGGAAGGATATAGTTTGGTCGCCCAGCTTCTGAGTTAGGTGCATGGTGTAACACTGTGAGCTACGTGTGTTTTTCGTTAGCACAGGAGCGGAGCAACTATAGGGTGACCCGTTTGCTATGAAGCTGAAACTAGGATTACCAGATTACCAGATATGCCTTCTGTACTCCAGCTTCTTTCTTTCTATTGTTCTTTCTCTGTATCATGCTATGAAAATATTCTTATATATTTGAATTAATGTACCTGTTTAATTGTAGGACCATGAAAATGAACGTCTATGTTAATATGTGGCCTGTCTGTTCTCGTTACCTCGTTTTTTGACAGGTTTTCTCCCCTCTCATACTTCTTGCAAGCTTCATATAAGGAGTCAATATAGTGTTGTAAATTCTGTTCTTAGGGGTTTATTAGACACTGATCGTCTAAAAACAACAACAACAAAAAAACTTCATGAATGTCTTCTTCAAGTACTTCTTCAAAATAACTGAGTGCTACGGAGGTGTAGCCGCTAGACGCTTGCCTGTGAATTCGAAGATGGTGGGTTCTAGCCCGAAGGGCACGGGAATTCAGGTTAATTCAGCCTTGAGTGCGACCAGGTACAAACAAGTTCTTGAAAGCAAAAGCGGCCAGCGTCATGTTGACTACATCACCCACCAGGTGCCGAATGTTCTATCAAATACAGGTCTAGCCCTGTATGCCCAATACGCCTAACGGCGCTGACAAGGGTAGAGCAAAAGCTCTACAAAATAAATATAATATTGAACACGAAAGTGTAGCTACACGCCCCTTCTGATAAAATCGATTGTTCTTTTACTTTCACATCTAACCTCTTAGGTACCACGTAACTCCTGATGCATTGAATAATAACTTATTTAGCTTTCCTTTGGTAGCAACAGAGTTAAAATTATGACTGGCATGTAGTATTATTGTTCACAGCTAGACTGCAATATGTGCACCTTTCAGCCCAAATGCATCTTATTCAGCAAACCACCAGGTATTCATCCGATATTTTTACTTTTTTAAGGGGAAGTGGATCTTTCCTGTGCCCATCAAGTGGGCGCTCCTGATAACAAAATATATAACAGAATAATGGTAATGCATAATGGCTTCTTGTCTCTACAGAGATTACTTTATGTCGGTGAGATGTCGTCCAGCTTCTACTTCCTTGTGGTCCTGCATGGTATTCTTATTGTTGTCCTTGGCAACAACCTCTGTATCTTCAAGGTAAGGTTCGTTGATCAACTCATTCAATCTCCTGTCGTGATATTATAATATTATGACACACAGGGCTTGCATTCTATGGCTCTGTTTCGTTCTACCCTGTACAATCACTTCGATATCATGGGTGGGATCAAGTCCAGCCCCGTTGGCTTCTCTCATCAGCTTTCACCTTAGGGTTCCTTTTCGACGTCCTGGCTTCCATATTCCCTCTGTTTCATGTTTCAGTGCCTGTCTGGGGATTCTCTGTTAGTCTCTTTACAAAATGTGTCAAATTTAACGCTTTCTTTTAACTTGTAACCGTTGATACTACTGGTTATAATTTAGCCGCTTATCCTTTACAGGACGTTGCATAACCAACCCCCGCATTTTTTGGCTGTTGTGGTTTTTCTAGGCAAATTTTACGTTCAGTAGTTTGCCATTGCCATTGCTTACTTGAACGGTCAGCTCTCGGTACCACTGTCGAAACCATCGCAAGACAAACCGTCCGCAGCTGGAATCGAACCCGTCAACCCGGCATAACGAAGCTATTTCGCAACGCCTAAGCCACAGAATCTGACAGCTAGTGGTTACCCACATGTTTATATTATGTTTTCGTTATTTTTGAAGTTACCCCATTTTATGTTCATTATTTTCGGCAGGAATTTCTTTATCAAGTGCACTTTACTTTTGTTTTATATCAAGGCCAAAAGCCTGTCGTAAGAGTCGACTAATTGGGAGATTTTTTCGGAGTCGGAGTGCATCTGCCTGAGAGGCAAGGAACCAACAGTCTGCAAACAAATGTGTCAGATCTGTTAAAAGGATGCACACGCAACACTTAGGTTCTGGAAGAGGACTGGAGTCCAGAATAGACGAACAACCAGAACTTTCCACCAGATTTTACAACTGGTAAACGCAAAGAAGAAGAAGAAGCAGAAGAAGAATATCAAGGTAATGTTGGGCACATGTAAATTTTGTGCAGAAGCAGACGTAGCTCAGTTGCTAGATGCTCGCCTGAAGGTTTTAGGTTTAATTCGTCCCGTAAAAAACACACACACACTGACCATAGCCAGCATGTCTACTTGCCATAAATGACCACAAAGTAATTAGCTGGGAAGTAAAGGCGGCGGGCTTGATGTTGATCATAGCACCCATCAAGGATTGATTGATCTATAAACAATAAGGGTCTAGCATCATGTGCCGTGTGCTGCACTGTTTTGAGATTGGTCCTTTACTCATCCTTTACCTATCCTTTACTTATCCTTTACTTATCATTTGCTTATCATTTACTTATCGAATCTATAATGATTAATACGCCTCTTTGGTGCTTTTCTTTCCCGGGAATAAATAATATTTGTTCGTCAGATACAATTGCTGCTCTCGCTTTTGATCTTGTCTCACAAATTCCCAAGATGTTCACATTCAGTTCTGTCATTTCTAGCTCTATACTGTCTAAAGCAAGCCCCCCCCCCCCCCGCCCCCTCTCCCCTTCCGCCCCACTTTGTGCTCATATGCCATGTTCCTGTGTTTGGAATAGTTGATGTCTTGCACACAACTGTCTGTATCAAGGCCTGTGTGGTCTCGAGGTATGGCATCCTCTTTGAGTGCTAGAGGTCCCGGGTTCAAACCGCGGTGTGTGCTGGAATTTTTTTTATGTGGACTTCTAGTAATTTACCCTGATCTCTAGGGAGTAAGACCGGATGCCCGTGTGCATTGTCGCGCACGTGAAAAATCACTTGGCACGTGGAAATCCAGCAGAGTTGTCTAACGGCGCTGGCCGGGCAACATTTTCAGCTAAAAATATACCCAAAGCATTTCAGGATCCTTGCCGGTGATACGGCGTTCGTGCGCTGCTCAGAGGTTCTTGGTACTCAGGCTTGAGCTAGAAGTAAAAAGGGGCACTTATAGGTTACTCTTTGGGCCATGATGTTGATCCGTAGTCTAAACCTAGCCCTGTTTGTATGATCTGCTCCACGTGATTCTCTCTCTACGGGATGAGTGGACTAGCGGCACTTACCCATTCACGCCGTTCATGCGCAGATTTGTTAAATGTTAAATGTTGAATTAAGAATCGACATCACAGCACTAGGGACAACCCCATAGGCGCTCCAACCCCATCTTCAGCAGAAAGCAAAGAGTTGAAATTTCGATGACACCAGTAACTGTCTGATCGTATATCCGTCTCGTCTTTCCCCTGAGTGTTGAGCGTCGGCCACATCCCCTTGTAACTCCTCGCAGAGCCATTCTTCTCAGACCGTAATGATCTATCTGAGCCTCGGCACTTCAGAGATGTGTATGTTGTGTAAGCTTAACTATTTTTATATCTTTAAAACAAAAATTTGCCATTCTTTAACAAAACCTGGCGTACAATATTTGAAGGAATGTGATTGTGAGGGCACTATCATCCTGTGTAGTGAGCTAGGACTGACGAAGATTCCAGAACGGGTTGCCACGAACTACACTGACTTCCAGCTGTTGGATCTTGAGGTAAGTTCATGTCTGATACTTCAAAAATCTGCAGGCCTGTGTTACTGCTGCCTTTCTTCTACAATCATATTTAGCTTTTTTTGTTACAGAGTAGCGTCCCCACTGCCGAGAATTAGATGCAGGCAAAGCAGTTGAAACCCATCAGAGATTCAACCCTTTTCCAGTCGGCACACAGCCCGAGGGTTCTATCAAAAACCACCACGTACTAGGGTTTCACATCGAGCTGGCGAATTACGCCGCTTTACTAAAGTCACAAACAAAACGATTCTCACAGACTGACGGTGCTAGGCGCCAGCCGTAGGAGAATGTTTGGAATGTCACGTAGACCCAAATAGATTGACAATTTTCCAATAACACCTGGTAATTAATTTAGTACATTAAACTTTGGTGGGAAAGAAAATTTCCATCGAAGTAACCCAGTGAATTGTTTAGGAACAGATCATGTGACATACCGGCCCTTGCAACATATTAGCAGCAGGAGAATGAGAGTTAGTCAGTCAGTCCGCAGCAGTGGTACATGTTGAACGCTGTCTACCAGTCCGGTAACACGGGAAGCTGGAAATCGACAAGTCTGTAGTACGATAGTGACAAGAACAGAGAATAGAAGGTCTAGTAATTACAAGAAAGGAAGGATGGCCAATCGCCATTCTAACTTCTTACGGCACGCTTGATAAAAAAGAGGTCGTAACGGACGGACGAGCAGAGATGACTACAATGCTTCATCGGTGGAAGGGCTTATCTACGTGTAGTTTTTAACTAGTGTGCAGAGTTGCCAGAGAGAAGATTCCTTGGACAAGTAGGATTATTACAAGACGTGACTAAAGACGGGACATGAGAACGTGTGTTCTATGTGTTGTTTTTGTCGTGCCATCAAAGATGTGCTTCTGCGCCCGCTTAGCCAAATAAACAGACGTTACTATTTCAATTTACGGCCTTTAACTCATTACGGTAGTGTGTAGCGAATGGACGTCCACGAAGTGGGTATGCAGTATAAGGGGACACAGCCTTCACAGCACTATACCATCACGTTCATAGTCGTAGAAATAGTCGAGCACAACATCTAACCTGGGCGACTATCCAGGCAGGACACTGCCACACTTTGTTGGGGATATTCAACTGAAATCATATGTGCAGTCTGCGGTTTTTGTGTGTGTGCAAAGATCAATGGAAGAAATCCTAGTGTAACATACACCTGGCTGCCAGGAGATACTAAGATAAGGATATTGTGTATATGTGTAGTATTGTCTAATCTATGTATGTGCTGAAAAAAAGCTCCATAATCGTAACGTTCATCCTTTGTTTATGTTTGTTATATTGTGAAGCTCGCAGATATACTTTTCGTTCGGTTCTATACCTTTTACTAATAGTGTAAAATAAAAAATCCCACATAATGGCCGAATGGACTCAAATTCTTAAAAAAAAGAAAAACAATAACTATTGAACACATACATACACACACACACACACACACACACACACACACACACACACACACAACTACACCTTTATGTCGGGAAATATAGCTGCCTGAGAGACAAAAAACCAGCTGTCAGTATTCAAATAAGCCAGATCTGTTAAACGTATTTGCACACAAAACATAGAAAGACAGCAAATCAAATTATTTGCACACTGTGAGAGAATGCTTTCTGTCATACACCATTCAATGCATGTACCAAATGAGGAGATGGACGCAGAGCAAGAGGTAGACCAAGAACAAGATGGAAGGATAACATCAGAGAAACTCTACAGTACCACGATGTGTCTTTGGTCGAAGCAGCCAGAAGAGCACGAAGCAGAACCGTGTATCTCATTCAACACCCGAAGCGGTAAAAGATGACGTAAAGAAGAAAAAGAAGAAGAAGAAGAAGAAGAAGAAGAAGAAGAAGAAGAAGAAGAAGAAGAAGAAGAAGAAGAAGAAGAAGAAGAAGAAGAAGAAGAAGAAGAAGAAGAAGAAGAAGAAGAAGAAGAAGAAGAAGCACGCAGAACTCAAGTTCTAGGAAAAGACTAAAATCCAAAAGTGGACGAACAACCAGTACTTTCCGCCGAAGTTTATAGAACTAGAAGATGTAGACAAATACGCTCTTAGTTCACACCGGGTGCTCCTTGAAAGTATTCTCTAACACACAATATTATCATCCGCAGATTAACATGATCACAAGTATCCCATCAGGAAGCCTACCAGCCAATATCCAAGAGCTCACACTTATGGAGAACCCTATAGCAACCATTGATGATTCTGCTTTCGATGACTGCGCCAACACTTTACAAACTTTGACTTTTTCGGCCGCTCGTTTTACTAGGATTCCGGATGCCTTCCTTCGCCTGAAGCAGCTAAAGAGCTTTAGTATCTACGGCACAACAATCTGGGATTGGAATCCAATGGCGATGAACAGTCTTGGCCAAACTCTTCAGACACTGGATCTAGTCATTTGTAATATAACCATCTGGCCACAATGGGTTAAGAACTTCACCGGTCTAACTGAACTTAATTTATCTGGAAATTTCATCTCTTCAATTCCTGATGATGCTCTGGATTTGTTAAGCAATATTCTAACAAGTCTTTCGCTTGCAAACAACAGTTTGACCTCTGTTCCGAAGACTTTCTCCAAACTTAACGCCCTGACAATGTTAAACTTGCAGCAAAATAGAATCTCAGATGTGTCGTGGCTTCCACCAAACTGTAAATTAACGTCATTATCTCTCAATTTTAACAAAATTTCTGACGCAGTGCAACTTAGCAATGCATTACTTCCTTTCGCCACTTCTTTGAATCATTTAGATGTAGATAACAACATTCTAACTGCAATTCCAGATTTGGGTTTTCTCAAATTCATACCCAGTCTGGACTTCTCAAGCAATAAAATGTCAGATTCCCTATCTGGGTCGGCTCCCCCTAATACCAACTCTCTGGATTTTGAATCAAACGCATTTAGGTTTATTCCTAAGATTCTGTGGAGCGTCAAGGAAGTAACGTACATGATTCTGTCTTCAAATCGGATAACAGACCTGGGAGAAATGAGTTTTCCGCCGTGGATAGTGGGCGCTGAGCTCGGATATAACCTACTTGTGGAGTTAAAAGATTTGAGTTTTCCAGAAAATTCCACTATGCAATTCTTAAACTTAAATAACAACCCCATTTGCAGAATTTCTGACAACGCCTTTAAGAACCTACCACAGCTCTATTTTCTCAATTTGCAATACACGGAGCTAACACGTCTGCCCCTCGGCCTAGCCTCGGCTAAAGGTCTAAGTGATCTGGACCTTAGTGGGAGCGTCTACCTGGTGTGTACGTGCGCGGAGATAAACTTACGGCAGTGGATTCTATCTCGGTCGGATCGTGGGGTCAATGGAGATTGTGGCAGTACCAGCATATGGACTTTTTATAGAGACTTGAGCCCGTTTTGCCCAGAACCGATTACTTTAAACTACCAAACAGTGACATACCTACGTTAGGGTAGGAAGGGCAGATGCAAAAGATTCATATTTTTTTTTTGAAATTTCAATTGACAATGTCTTGTCTTGAGGGAACAAATGAAATATGTAAAAGACCATGCTGGATCCACGTCGTATATCTTTCCTGCTGTGCAGAATGAATTCTTCCACTATTGACCAGAATTTACTGAGAAGGATTTGTAGAGCCATGCACTATGATATCCTGTTTGACTCGACTCACAAAACTGATTTCTATACCTAAGATAAAGTTTTCATGGCCATAAAAACATAACTCTGGAATTTGCCATAATAGCTAACTTATATAAATATATATTCAATAGTTGTTTACAGGACTCTCAGAGTTTACACTGCACCAATTATACAATTCAAAGGTAAACTTTGAATTTTACTTGCAAATAATTAAACAGGCTTCATAATTATGTACTAGACGGTTTTCAAAATTATCCCAACATTGAGCAATGACTAATGCAAATGGCGAAAGGTTTCGAGCTGTAGTCTGCTGTCTAGAGCCCTGCCATTCAATTCCTTCATAGCATGATGCCCTATGTCACTGACTATCCCATGTGAGTTTAGGGCCCCTTTTGAGGGGCCTAGTGGTGGTGGTGTGGGGGGGGGGGGGGTGACTATTCCCTCAGCCCCCTAAACAAGTGTCGTAAGCGTTCTTTGCTGGCGGAATCTATCCTCACCTGGAGACCCTCTATAATTGATCCTCTGTTAATTCCAATGACACCAGTAACTACCTGAATGTATATCTGTCTCGCCTTTTCCTTGAGTATTGAGCGTCGGCCAGATTTCCTTGCAAATCCTTGCAGTGCCATTCTCCTCAGGCCGTAATGGTCTATTCTATTTGCTTGTGTTTGTAAACACTGATGTACATTTTTTGCTTTTACCACATTTATATTTATTTAAAGTGTGCATTTGTTCTAACCGAAAACATACAGTTAAATCTTACAGGACGGAAATATTCCGTTGGTTTGTCACAACAAGGATGTCTTAAGGGTCGACTAGTTTGGGGTGTTTCCGTCGAAGTCTGATTTTTGATCCGGCTGTAAACCCCGGCGAAAAGTTCCGGTTGCTCATCCACCTCTGGACTTTAGACGTGTTCCAGAACCTAAATGTTGCGTGCACACTTTTTTTGTATGCAGACTGTTGGTTCCTTGCCTCTTAGGCAGAAGTACTCCAACTTCGAAGGTAACCCTACCAAAAAGTCGATTCTTAAGACATGTTTGTTGGGGAGGTATTGGGTCAACTTTTGTCCCCCAAGGAAACTCTGGAAACCACACGGGGAAGTAATTTCAATAACGTTTGACTTTTCCAATTTTTCTTATGTTACTTCCCTTTAACTATCAGTCCGTGACTTTCAAAAAAAAAAAAAAACATCCAGTAACATTTATTTCTTGGCGTCTGTCGCTTAGGCGTTACGAACGTGCTTTGTAATGCCGCGGTGCCCGGTTCATCCCAGCTGCGGGTTGGCTTAGGTCCAGTTATAGATGTTTTGGGGTAGTTAAAAGCACCACAACGCCGGAAAACCCTGTCTTACCACACTTTAAAATATTGGACTGTCCCAGTGACGTAATAATCTGGAGTAACTTTTACGAATGAACCGTTTATTTCACATCCTAACACCTCTATACAGTCTGCCTTTCCAGTGAATTCCCCGCGAAATCTCGGAGTCCCCGAGATGTAGTAAAAGAAAAGAAAAGCGAAAGCGTTCTTATTGGGTCACCATCATCATCATCATCATGTGCCTTTGCAGCGGCGTAGGCGCTCATGTCTCTCCGCAGATCTCAGTCATTGGTATTTTTGAAATAATTTCACTAATAATTTTCTGCGATGCTATCGCTTAGGACCTGTCGATAATCATTTCTCTTGGTCTGCCTCTGCATCTTCAACGCTGATCTTTTCTGTCATCGCGATGTTCTCCACAGGGCCTCTCTTCTCATCACGTGACCGAATAGCAATGGCTGCCTCTTTCTTATAGATGAAAAAAAAAGATTTCTGGTTTGATTAGCTGTTTATATCATGTGTTATGCCTTCGTTGAATACATAGCATCAGGTAAAAGACAAGAAGATCAGTAACCTGGTTAGTAGACAAGGTTATTTTAACATTAGTTTCCGCAAACCCCACCCAAATACACACTAGCTCACTTCTAATTGGTAGTTCGTGAGCCCCGTGGTCTTCTCACACGGTTACGGAGGTGTGCCTCAATGCCGTTGACAATTCGTGTAGTATTTTTCAGCAGGCAGCGCTTTGAACAAAAAAAAAAAAAAAAAAAAAAAAAAAAAAAAAAAAAACAGCAACGACAATTTGAGAAACTGGGTCTAACACAACTCCCCTAGAGAGTGCTGTAACCTATCATAGACATTCTCTTTCTCGGAAAGAAAACGTAAATGCAAGACATCACAGAAACCAAAAAAAAAAAAAAAAAAAACAGAGCGTGACACACCCGTACCATTAGGAAAGTTGACCAGCCCAATAAATTTGTGAATGAAAAGTGACCTACTCTTTTTGGGGAGACTAACGACGAACTAGGCATAGAAAAATTTAGCTTGTAGGTCTACGCCAATTCTGGCTCTTTCCAGTCCTAGAAGACTCAAGTGGAACGGGAGCGATGCAGGATTTTGCAGGTGCTAAGAAGATAAGCAGCTGGTCGAACGATTAGGAACGCTTGCTGTCATACGGAAGACCCAGGTTCGAACCCACAGTGTGGTTTCTTTTTGTACCGAAGCAAAAATGAAAAGTTGTGAATACAGGCGGTGACCGACGTGTTTGACAGAAAATCTTTGGAGTTGTCAGGTTTTGTCTGCTACCTGAAGGTTTTTTCGCCATAAGATTACAAAAATAGTACACCCAGTGTCAAGTCACTGGGTCAAATCCCAAATGATCTGTTCAACCTCTGAAGCAAATATAACTGGGCCCTAGTGACGGCCACACTGGGCTGTCTTAACCTGCAGTCATATGTAGGTAAATATGGTATGCTGCCAAATCGAGTGCGATAGCTTCGGATCATTGTCAGTCGGAATCATTTAACTAATAACATAAATTCCAAGCAACAGATACCGACCTATGAAGTGAACAGTGAAGTAAATGACCCTTTACCGCTCTTTCATGAGTCATGTTATATTATGTTACGTTATGCTATGTTATGTTATGTTATCACTATCGACGTCATTGCACATTGGACATTCCCAAGCGTGCTCAGTCCTCCAATGCAGCAACCACTCTAAAGTACTTCTACTAATTGTTCCCATGAGAAGGTGGTTATATTGTCTCCTATCTCGGCCTCGAAGACGGGATAGACGTGCTTCACCATGCTTTACTCCCATGTCACGCAATCGTGTTAGTGCCAGGCGTTTTACCTGGTACCAATTTAAGGCTAGGTCGACATGGGAAATAAGGATATTTTTTGAAGTGTGTCTGGCTACTTTTGGATTTGACCTTCACAACCGCAGCAGAGCATCTAGCCGCTACACCACGACCGCTCGTTTATAAAGAAGTAAAGGGAAAAAAGTAAAAGACCGTTTCTCGCGTCTGGCGCATCAGGCATACAGGGCTATACCTGTACTTTTATAGGCCAATTGGCATTCAAATGGGGTGTGTGGAAAACATCGTGCCGGTCGGCTTAACTTGATAGGACGATAGCTGATATCCATTTTAAGGAGTGAGTGACGTTGAACCCCTACCAAGACGGCACAAACAGCAATTACTACAGGTTGACAATTCCGTGAAAGAAAAAAATCTTTCTTTCTTTGGTTATGTGATGAGAAGGGGGAAACTGGGGTACATCATGACGGTAGGAAAGTTACAGGGGAGGAGAGGCAGAGGGAGACTGAGAGAACAGATGCTAGACAGATTGACATTATGGCATGAAAGATCGTCTGTGTCAGAGTAGATTGAAAGTACACGGGACAGAAGGTTGTGGATAGACAGGACTACCAACGCCACGCAGCATCGACTTTAAGAAGAAGACACAAAGTGCTACCATGTGTATGCGAATCCTCCAGGCGCAAGTCCTAGAAACGCTGTTCAACGGTGAAGTGGAAAGAAATCATCTCCCGACGGCAGTAACGAAGTGTAACCTGAAGTCTTGCCGGCGTTGGACTTTAACTTAGGAAAGAAAGTGCCCCATGTTGGGAAAGTACCCATTTTGAGGCTGGTCGATCTGCAAGCCCGGGTCAGTTCCGAACAAGGTCTCTCTTCGTGTGGATTTGAACACCAGATCTTCCGGCTTTCATACGAGCAAGATATAAAGAGCACGAATATTTATGTTCTTTTTCACATTTGCACTATAGGATAAAGCTTTAGTGACATAAAGTAGTCAATGGCACTATAAATCCTGCCAAGTAATAGCAGTCATTTATATCCTCACTGCAGCATTCTGACAAAAGCAATGAGAAGGGACATAATACAAAGAACTCAAAATTGTGTTTTAGAAATTGTGATTATTTTCCTTGAAATGTTTTTAACGACCCATGAAATCGTGATCTGCCACATCACCCACGTAGAGCCAGTTCCAGACGTCGGAACTCGAGTCTCGATACTCGGACTCAAGTGGGACTCAACTTTCGTAATTAACAACTTGCGACTCGTTTTGGGGTTATGTCCAGCGACTGGTGACTCGACATGCGACTTGTGGCTTCGACGACTTGATATAACGCCACAGAGACGATCAACGTCACAATTTAAAACGTCTTTATATAAATCAGGAAAACATAAATGTTTATGTCGATTAATCACACTTTCAGATTCGACTTTTTACACTTTTGTTTATAGTCTAGTGTGTTTCGCTTTTGACTAAACATGTTATTTCATACACTCTATTGTCGTTGTTCAAAAAAATTATTTTCCGAGAGGCTCACCGTTTCCAGTACCCGTTTCCCTGTAAACGCTTTGGTAGCAAACAAATCCGCTCTTTTATTTCCTCACACTCCTGCATTTCCCAGAAAATTTATCCACGTGAGTCCATGTATTGTGACGCTTTGTATTCACTCTTTCCAAA